AAACCGAAGCTGCTAAAAGTTGACATGTGGCTTCACCTATGCTCAGGAAAATTGTGCCTAGCCGATGTTCCAGAAAGAAAAAAAATCAAACTCTCTTTTTTAGAAAATGAATGAATAAATACCGCCTTAATTTTAGTGAGGAAATTCTATTCATTTATGAAAAGAAAGTAGTCAGTAAAATCTAATAAGGTAGAAATCCCACACAATTAATATCTGCCATTTCTGTTCCTAACAAAAGATTTACACGTATCTCTCAATCCCCTTGATACTACATTCAAAACCAGATTTCAAAGCAGACTTGGATTTCAAAAGACAAGTAATCTTCCAAAAATCAAGCCGCCTAGAGGACGGGGATATGGATAGACGGGCAACTCCTATCCTAATATCAATTTCAAAAGATATCCACTTATGAAGCAGATCGAACCAACATCAACAACATTCAATTATTACGAGAGGAGAACGATCGCATAACATCTTTAAGGTCAGATATTATTCGATTCCGACCTGCCGGTGCAAGATTTTTTTTTTTCCCGTCTCCGATTTGAATTTAATTTGCCTTTCGATGGCAAAAATTGGCTGCTATTTCTTCTTCAATGCGTAAGCCCTTTTTGCTTTTTTCCTGTTTTGTTTTTTAGTTTGGTTTTCTTCCCTGAAAATTAATATGTTTTTTTCTCATAACTTTTCTATCTATGTTTATGCTTTTTGCAGTCAGGAATGGTATTGCGAAACACAAACTCGAAATTACATATAATATTTGAACCCATTGTGAGCCACAATTGTTGTATTCAAGTAATGTAGCAAATTCTTCTCTTCTCAGATCGAATGTAAAAAATCATGGACGGCTGGTACTGGAATTCCAAGCATCATCGACTGCCAATTCTGAACTTGATGAAAGCTTTGTTGTCCAACGAATCCATTGGAAGTGAACTTGGAAGGTACAGGAACCATCAGCATGTTTTGAATTCGTTTACAAGGTTTGATGACTTTCTTCATGCTTAATATGGCCATATTTGTTTAATAATTGAGAGGCATTGGACTTCTTTTCCAGAGATATGTTTTGATATCTGATCTGAGTTTTTTGATGTGTTTGATAAGAACTATGCCACTCCTGGGTTTGTTGAAGATGCCGGGAAAATGTTTGAATATGCTATTGACGATAAGGCATTCAGGAAAAAATTGTAAGATTTGTTTCCTTCCCAGAGATTTTTTTTTTTTTTGGGCACAAATTCAGATTTGGGATGGCTCTGTTTTGATTTTACGTGTACTTGAATCAGTTTGGTCATAATACAATTATATACCAGAAAGAAGGAACTCTTTCAACCTACAAATAGCGAAAGAGCTTATTAAGGCGTTCAATGCTGCCAGTGATGACATCAAGATCGAAGTGATCATTTTCAATGGAACTCTATTGATCCTTTGTATGTTAATTCATTCAGAATCCTGTGTTTCTTCAATTTTAAGTTACTAACAAAGAATTAATTTATGGGATACTGGTTATAAAGGCATTTTGTAGTGGTGGTGATCAATCCTTTAGTGGCAAAATGCCTATGCCGACTACGACAATTTTGGTCGACTCCATGTTTTGGACTTGCATGTTCAAATTTACCGACTTCCAAAACCTGTCATTGCAACGGTAAGTTTGGCTTAGCCCTTATGATCATGCCATTCTATTTTTCTTATTCTTCTTCTTCAGTACCATTTCCATAAACTTTAATTTGAAAACTCGGTTGTTGGCTATGCTGTTCGAGGTGGAAACGTTTTGAACATGGTCTTTGATATCACAGGTCCAAATAACTAAAATATACGATCCTGAATTAGCTCAAATTTTAGTGAACTAACAAGTGGATATTGGTGTAACAGAGGTATCATAATATGTTTCCTTTGAGACTTTGAATTAAGTTACTTGCACAATTTGAATATCCACTTTTTAGAGTTAAATTAAAATTGCGTAATTCCTTGAATTACGTTTAATGTTAGGTGCATAAGGAGAATTCTAAGTTAACTAATGTTTACTAACTATTACAAAGTCATGGAAAGGAGTTTTTGGGATCAAAATATGAAGATCCAACCTCCAGTTTCACTTATCTTCAATAATTTTTAGTGTCCAATCTATAGGTTAATTTTTTCTCTGAATTGTGTACGTTCCTTTGATCTTCATGTGATTTTCTTTTGATACATTGCAGCTGATGTATTTGAGGATGATCAAATAAATGCATTGAAAGAGACCTTTAATAAACAAGGTGAGTGTAATACAAATATACATTGTACTATTTTGATAGGATCCTCAAATTTATGGTTTGACGTAACAAGATGAATAACTATATTTTGTCTGAAAGTATATGACGAGATACACAATAATTCAATAGTATAGTCCAGCAGCATATAATTCTATAGAAGGGTTTTGACGGGTTTCAATTCATTCTTCAGAATTGTCGAAACAAAAGAGCAGGAGAAAGATGTGTTTCGAACAAGAGGTTATGAAGCTATAGCTCTTTTTATTCAATTCAGAAATCTTCCTGATTTTTTTGCAGTGTATCGGATCCCCTTGATTACATAAGAGTAGAGAAAAAAGACGTGCTAAGGTATTATCATTTCTGAACTATTTATATTTGAAAAGACATTCTTCATTTAACACCCTCTCCCCCTCAAAAAAATAAAAATAAAAATAGATATTCTTCATGACAAATAGAAGCCAACAACCTATCATTTGATGAAATTGATAAAATCTTATGAGAATCTACCTGCAATAGGCCAAGCTATCATTCCAGTCAGTCACAATGACCAGCATGGAATGATAAATTGGTTTACTTTCTCTCTGTATTCATACTAATTCAACATGTTCTTCTTGATCCCATCCTGGAAACCAATGTCAATTATAGGCGTGCCAGCAATCCACCAATTTTTAAAGAGATTGTCCAAGAGATTACCTCAGATGAAGGCTGGCAAGAATCTAATTCAAGAGGGATGTAAGGCAGTGCAGTGTCCAAAGGTCTTTCTTTTTCAAAGATATGTACCCAAATTTATCAATCATTCAATTGAGAGTGTTGATGGAACTTCAATGAACTCTACGCTTCGTGAAAAATATCATGGAGAAGATGTTCAGAGAAAAATTGAGGTGATTGATATAGGACAGGATACTTAAGTAAAGGTGTTATTAAGCTTTTTCAAAGGGACAGTTTTTTTTTCTCAATGGGACGGTGATCTTTTGAGAGACCATGCAGCCTTGGAGAAGCAATGCGGTTTTTGTTGAGAAGCTACCCCTTGAGATCAAGCCCTGGGAGAAGCAACTTTCGACAAAGTAATTATAGAAGAGATCACTCATGGAGAAGGGGTTTTAAATGGTGGTTCTTTTATATCAAAAATGTATTATTTTTTCAACTCTCACTCGGCATAACGATACGATTTGACTTCATATTTAGACATAATAGAAAGTGGTTCTTCATCAAACCTTTCCATTTCACATATTAGTGAACATGTGAACTTACTACAACATTAAGTTTACTTTTTTGTACTTATTATATCATCTTATGTCAAACTTAGATCATTTTCTTGCTGGCTTTGTAAACTGGGGTATCAGTTTTGGTTAAAGGAAAATTACATTCCGTGGACATTGGTGCTGGAAGCATGGCATGGACAGGGAGTTGGTTTTGAGCCAGTTAGAAGTTTTGGCAATTCTTGAAAGTTAGAAAAATAAAATAAAACAAATGGTCGAATAGAATTGGAACACAGAGCCAAAATTGAATAACATTTCCAAAAGACATTCGAGCGAGCCGAAATGCATAAAATAACTATATTTGTGTCCTAAATACAACACTTCTTAAATACCAACAACAAAATTCTTCTCTTCCTAGAAACAAACGTAATGTACTAACATTGTTGCATCAATCATCTAAGTTAAATATATTGAAGTTATATAAATTTTTTTGTATGAGTTATTTATTTTTTCCCATTGAACTGACTTAAACAATAAGCGGGCGCCCGGGCCAAGGCCCGGGCCAAGCATCTAGTATCCTACTATATTAGAAACAAAAACCTCTCTTTCAAACACCTCATATGATTGCCACGTGGCATGTAGAAAGTACTGAATTGCCCTTTTGTCTACCCATAACTAAATTACTAAATTTCCCTTTGCACTTTACGTGACACGTTTTTTTTTATTTTATTTTTTCTTTATGTTTCATTCAACTACAGTGGTTTTTTAAATTGAATTAATCAATTAGGTTTTTGTTACAAAGTGTCAACTTTGTTTTAAGCGTATACTCTTCGGATGAAGCTTATTACAAAACTATTAAAAATCACCAAAACTAAGTATTGATTTGGCACGACCAATGGAGAACATCAATAAATCATCTTATTAATATTTAAATTTATTAGGATGCTTTTATATTTTATCTAACATTTACTTCAACACATTTATTCGATTAAGGCTATTTATATTTAATAAGTAACACTTATAAAACATTTCTAACACATACATGGCAAAATACAATTTCTTTTTTTTTTTGTGTGAAATACAAATATTTCTATGATCACACTTATAAAACATTTCTAAATCCTTCAAACATTTCTAAAATATATCGCTACAAATACAAAATTTTATTTTTTTTTCAAATATAAATATTTCTAAGATCTACAAATAGACTGGGCCAGGGTCGCGCATTGCGCGACCAGACATCACTAGTAGATAGATAGATATAGATAGATTAGGTTTGAATCCGCTTCTCTGTGCCTTCACCGTGGAGATGGACATTTCATATACCGAGATTTTTTATTGTGTGACGATATATTTCTCCGTATTTTCGATATATATATTTACAGAGTTATTTAGATTATGATAAGTTATGTTTCTGTTAGGTTGTTTTTGCCAGAGTATCCCATGAGAATATAGTAGTAGAAGAAAAATCCCTTGAGTTTTTGCAAGTTTAAAGGTTAGACTCCCCATGACAATTCTCCTTTCCAAGAATTCGTAGTGATTCTGGATCCGATTCAACTTGAAGTGTGGTGATATTATGTTACTGAGTTTACAAAAACCGTTCTCCGGACGCCATAACAGATCAGGCGACCTTAAAGTAATTTATTTGAAACGAAACACGGTTTACTAATACAATCAATACATTTAAGGATCTTTAAACAATAAAGAGGCTATAATGATACAAATTATTACCTGGTCACTGTCGTAGATCAAGCATATGCTTATTTGAAATTAACCGCGTGCAAGACGGCATCTCATCATTTATCAAGAAATTGAATGAAACTTAATATACATCACAAAATCAAGGGGCGCAGGGTTCTATGTAACAATCCTCGAATGAATCTACTAGAAGATGAATACGACACTGTCGTGCACTCTGGACTTCTGGTTCTGAGCCACGCATTCAGATATCCACATTAAGTTCCTGATCTCCTGCTCCCTCAACCTCATGTATGCAAAGAACACCCCATAGTGAAACTGCAATTACAGGCAACAAAACCATCTGATCATCTTGCAAAATAAATTCACATGAGGACATGTTGAATGACAAGACATCAACGACAATTACCCCAAAAGCACCATGATTTCCAAGCAGACAACACTTGGCAGTGAGATCTCAAAGAATTATAATCAAATTTCATAATGTGATCTTGGGCTACTAACCTGTTGCTCAAATGCTAAGCAAAGTCGTTTCACCTCCTCTTCATAGAATGCCTTGTCAAGCATCTGGCTCTCCCCATAAGACAACTTAGCAAAAATAGATTGATAAGGAGGATATTTCTCCATGGCACCACGAACCTACAGGTGCAGACAGAACGAAAGCAAGCACCTTCAGAGGCAAAGAACAAAAGCAGAAACAGGTTTTGAAGAAAATATAACTTTCTTGAATTCATGTCAACAACACCCACATGACACAGTAGTTCCAAGACAAGGAATATGGATAGTTAAAACCATACAAAGTAGAAAAGTTCCCAAATAAGAAAATGCATATAAACTAACGCATGTAGTATGAAAAGGATTTGTCCAAAAAAACCCAGAAAATACTAACTAAAAGGATGATCCACAAGTACCTGATCTATGTCCTCGCAAATAGCAAGCTCCTCATGGCCATAGGGGTAGCTGTTTGGAGAAAACAGCAAATTAGAACATGGGAAAAGGCACGACAAGACTACAACAAGATAAAGCCATTGGGGGGCCCGAAAGGCAGTTAGGTAACTTACAGCAAGCCAAAATTAGAGTACAACTTTCTGCGATCTTCCCGAGTAAGCTCTGTACCAATGCTGCAAGCAAGAACAGAATTAAGAAAAACAAAAAAAAAAGGATGGTGCTTCTACTGCTATTTCTTATATTTCTTCCTAAAACATGTACACTGGAGAGGTGTATGTAATAATGCAGAAGTTGAGAATGAAACCCACCTATTAATGGTTATATTGACTGCTCTTCGGTCGGCCTCAAAAGCAAGTAGGTCAGACATGATCTCTGCAGTAGCTCCTCCAAGTTTCTGTTTAGTATTCTCCAAATTAGGAAATAAACATTGGAACACGACGTACTTCATTCGAGACAGAATCAATGAACTTTAAAGCATTTGAGCAAGGATGAACCTGGCAAAATTTATAGAAATCCTCCAGGTATGCCTTATAGAGAGTATTTCTCATGATCTCAATGTTCATATCATCCAAGTCCTGACAATGAAAACAACCATATATGAGATGATCACATGGGACAAATTGGAAGGAATATAAAACTAATGGTAAACAGTAAACCTATCAGGCACAATCCCACTCTATGCGACAAATGGAGAACAGAAAAACTTCAAATAGCGATTAAAAACTTTATCTAGACGTGTCCATTTTCAACGCAATAACAGTCATAACCACCATCAGGATAGGGAAAAAACCTAGCCTCGAGTGTCATTATTCTATCATTCATTGATCATGATATGAGTCCACCTAGTTTCCTCTCAAGACTAAGCCACTGAAGGAGAAAAAAAAGGAACAATCGCAGCACATAAGCTCAACAACATAGTAACTATATTTGTCTTGCACAGTGGTGCCCTTAAGTGAACATCTCCTAAAGAACCACATAATTACAACTGATAATCCCCCAGAAAACAAAGTTATACAGAAAAAGGCAAAAAGAATTCTAATTTAGTACCTCCGAAGTAATGCACTCGGAGAAATATGGGGCCAGAGGCGTGTCAACAAGCACAAGTCTGTATAGCTCTCTCATGTTCTGTGCCACCGCCAATGTAGCAATGCTGTGTAACAAATATTAAATGTTAATGAAATGGAAGTCAAATAAAACCTGATGAATAACAAGCCAATTGACACACTTCTACCTGTCAAACATTCCCAGAGGATGGCATTTCTCCAACAATTCTTGCACATCCCTCTCATGCAAGGTTCCAGTCACAATGAGGACAACATTGTCTATCATATGACCATATCTACATTGGGAAAAAAATATCAGCTATATGGAGTGATAAGAGTCCCGAGTAGTAACACATTGTTAGTAGCAGAAGATGCAACCAACATCTCTGTTGGTAGAAAAACTCTCTGGAGTTGTTGAAGACCCAAAAAATAAACAAAAAAACAAATAAAAAAGTAAAAAATCAGCTATATTACATCTTTACACCCTAAGTATTGGTACTATAATATGTTGACAAAGCATCCCAGAATCTGCCACAGAAAGATGGATTTAAAATAAGCAAACTGCTCTTCATCTGACAAACTGGAAACTAAAGATTAATACTTTTATTCAGCAAACACATTAACATTTCCAGAAGAGAAGTTATAAAATCCTATATGCTAAGACAATTTGAGCATTATGACACCCATGAAAGACATATGTAGGGGTATATTATTATCTTGAATACATCTAGTCCCATTTCATCAGGACACTTAATTGATTACTTGACCAACTGTTTACAGAAAATAAAACTTTTGTCATGAAGTTTCTAATACAGCTTACATCATAAGAGACATCTGAATCCACAATTGAACCCAAACAAAAATGGGAAAAAGAAAGAAACACAAACAGAAAACTAATCAATCAAATCAAATCTATGTAAAGATGAACGAGCACGCAACAACACATCATTGAAGATATAAGCCAAAACAACTATAAACAGCAGTTAACCAGTGAGGTTAGATGCATCGAGAAAACAATGTTTATTAATAAGACACAACAGAAGGTCGAGAAACTTCGCACAAGAAAACTGAAAAGCTTAAAAAGACAGAAAAAATTATATTGTCCAGACCCTCCTCATCTCTCTTTTAACTGAACCTATATAGACACTGTCATCTTAAGATTTGTTTTCTGAATTCCCCACAGTAATTAAAATGTTGATCATTATAACCCAGGTGCAGATATTATGTAGATTCTTTAAAAATAAAAACAAAAAACAAAAATTTACTCAAAAAAGGGACTCATACAAACAAACCTGAGATAGCTAGGTTAATAAGCTTTCTTGAAAACAAAGTAATTGAAGAGAAAAGGAAGTGGAAATGTCCATACGTGATGTACTCTAAGAATGTTGACAAGGGCTCTGTGGCTTGGCTTAACATGTGCTTATATTCATCAACCAATTTGAGAGTGCATTTCTCCACAATCGTAGTTGTATGCAGAGGCGATGGTTCTGCAAATTTGAAAAACCAAAATCACAAGCGCATTGAGACAGCACCATCTATTATGAAGAGAAAGTACAAAGCTCCTTAACCAAACAGAGAACCCAATTCAAATCTTTCGGGAGCGGGGATAGCCTTGAAAGTAAAGACAATTTAAAAAGAAAGTAAACAAACTGCGCAATGCGATAAACAGTCTGACCCAATTAAATATTTAGTTCAAAAAGGCAGAATGACAATGATTTATTCACAAATCTATGACGATGACCCATTTGAGCAACATCATACGGCTAAAACAAACTACAGTTCGCCAAATAAATTACCAAAAAGGTCAACCTGATTCGATTCAAGACAACTGGCACAATTCCAGCTGTAAGTTTTCAGGAACTATCTAAGATGGCATCAAATAGAAGGCCGGAATAAACAAATCAGATCATGATATGATTCACAAAATACAACATAAAAGACAATATTTACACGGATGATATGCACAGATTATGGCCCGTGGAGAAAATAAACTGAAGAAACACATAATTAATGGAATCCAATCTCAAAAATTAGAGGCAGAAGACAAACCATTTTGCAGATAAGGCCCGTACTCGGTGGCGGAAAGGTGCATCTTGATGTCATCTAGAGTTTCACACTGGCAGAGATTGTTGTAATCAGCGGCAGTGAGCAATCCAGATCTGTGACCCCTAACGATCGCCTCCAAATAGCCACTGTGGATGTTGAAGGTTAACGCTTCGAATCCGTACATTTTGATTTCTGGCGGACGGAGGCTGATGAACAAACAATTCGCGAAGGAATCGATGAAGAGAATGCGAATCCCCCAACTGGAAAACCCTAAGGTTAATGTCCAAGGGGATTTTACAGATGTCCTGGTGAATTTTTGTTTTGAGAGGTCCAGATGGAGAAGAAGACGATCAACTTATTATTGAAACTTGTAAGGCTATTTGAGTTCTTTCTTGTTAATTGTTATTCGATTCGGAGCCACGTCATTCTAGTGAATTTTTACAATTACTAGTTTTTAGCACATAAATTGGGTCTGCATCGGTTGAATAATAAAATATATTAGATAACTCATAACTCTATTCAAAATTGCCCAAAATTAAGAGGATTTTAACTATATTTATTTTAGGGGTTCAATTAACAAATTTGTGTGGTTTTTTTTTTTTTTTTTAATTCTTCTTTTCTCTTGTTGTTTATGCAGGGCTTTGAAGGCAAAGTTTATGTGGCTTGTTTGTTTACTAGTTCATTACATCCAGATCCAGATACAAAAAGAATTATTTCTTTTTAAAACATCGCAGGTATTATCATCTTTACATTGCAGATGGCAAGGCTAATAACAAAACATTTACATTTGATTTTTTTAAAAATTAAAGCCTCTCTGATTAATTTTTGTTTTTTTTGGCATGTGTGTAAGGTGCTCTCTATCTCATTCTCACCTACATATGAAGATCCCTTTTGAAGGCGTAATCTCCCAATATTACTTTTTTCTTTTGCATTCATAAGACTGAACACGGAACCTTACTTAAAACGATGCTAATGATAAACTGGCTTTATTTATTTATATATATATATATATATACACACTGAAGAAGCCGTAACTTAGTTTACAAAAGGAACTCTTTAATGAAGAGTTGAATTAGAGAAATCCTCTGCCATATGTCCTACGATTAATTCTGGGTGTGTGCCACAATATGTAGTCTCGGAGGATGGGATAATCCTAATTTAGCTAAGAAATCAACCGATTTATTGCTAGGGCGTTTAATGTGAGTGGTTTCTACAAACCATTCGAAATCTTAAGAGTTTTTTGACTCTGTACAAAATATTACTAGCAGCTGAATTTTTTTTTTTTTTTTACATACTGGGGAGGCATAAAACAAAAATGCGTAGGTTACATCATAATAACACCGAACTAATCTCGCAGATACCAAATAGCCTAAATACTCCAAAAGAAACCCAAATACTTCACATTGAAATCTCCGCCGGATTTGAGGGTCTTCACCGATGAAGTTAATCTAAAATCTCGGAATCATCTCAGCGTAGTTAGCGGCCTTCTAAATTTTGAGACAAAATGCTCGCCTCCTTAATTACTTCAAAATCACCTTAAATCAGTAGCCTCAGCTCTTAAATCCCCTTCAATCGGCTAGCCTCAATCACATCAAAATCCCATTACAAGAGTCTCTATCTAATATTAATTTGCTTGGGATTACCTGGTGGCAACAGGAGTTTCCTCCTGGTGCTCCAGTTCGGAGAGGCGGCCCTCCTTGATATCGAAAGGGTCTTCCTCCATAGTTTGATAATTGTCAGAGGCTTCAAGGTCTTCTAGTGCCCTCGGTAAATCATCTTTATTTTTTTCTTTGCCTCCCTTGACCTTAAACTTGAATTTAAGGTAGAAAAAATTAGATTTGTCCGGGGGTTTTCGGTCGGTGGAGGGGAGGCGCACCTTGTTCGATGGACGATTTAATCCTGGATGAGGGATATGAACGACGGTGTGGTTCTCAAGATTTAGAATCGGAGGGTTACTACTTGTGGGCGGTGTTGAATCTTGCACAGCCACCATAACGTTATTTTCCTCCACTTGGGCCTTATGATCTAATTCGGGCCTTTTTGCCTTACTTGCTGGCTGGGCCTTCTCTTTAACAGGATCTTTCTTGGAAACCCATGTGGGTTTGTCCCTACTCTCATTTTTTCTTTTACTACCTGCTGCAGCCATTTGAAATTAGATGCACTGGGATCTTCTTTTCCAATTTCAAAATTTTTCAGCCCAGATGACCTCATATGTTCTGTAGGCTCCTGGTTCAAATGTTTAACACCTCAAACGAGTTGCCCAACGACGTGTTACTTCTAACTCCAACGGGTAATTTCTTTTGTCAGAAGCCGTTGAAGTGAATTTTGGTGGTCCCCTCCAGACCCGCTTGGGTGCTTGCATCCAGTCCCCAACTCCGAACGGTCGTTGGGGTTCAATCATGCTTGTTGCAGACGAACTACCCGCTTGGACCGTCTCTGTACATTGTGCATCAAATTGTCTTGTACCTTTAGTTCCAGTCGGTTTCTCCTACATCGTCACCGCCGCTTTAGCCACCGGAAATGTCGGGCACGTTTCAGAATTGTGGCCGTAAATACCACAAGAGAAACATATTAACGGTAAAGCCTCATACTCCACCTTATAGAATACTCCGTCAACATCTACCATCCCTTGTAATCGCTCCGTCAGATCCAACAAAACTGCAATTCTAGCATATTTTCCTCTTGCGGCCGTCAAGGTGCATTCATCCGCTTTGAGAAAAGAGCCAATTGATTTGACCACATTCCAGAGGTGAGCTTCGTGGAAATAATGAATAGGTAATTCTGGGATTCTAATCCATGTTGCCACCGCCGAAAGGTGCTCTGTTTTTGCATTGAACTTATTTGTCCAAGGGTAAACTCTCAAATAAGTCGTATGAGTTGTTCCGATCGTCCAAGGGCCGTTTAATATGGCGTTGTTATAGTCCTCCTCGTGGCTCAGACGAACGACGTAGTGACTGTTAACTTGATCTGTTATCTCCATTTCACCCTTCAATTGCCAAATGTATTCCAATCGACTCTTAAGGGCTCCGTAGGTGACTGTGCGACCTAAAGGGCTGATTACAACAGCAAATCCCATTGATTTCTTCATCCTTTACTGAACAGGATCCAAGAAGATTACAGATCCAATGCCGTCCTTGACCTCATGAATAACTTCATCATCATTTACTATGACTGGTTCTCTGGTCAGGCGCTTCACCTTATCCTCCCCCCTTGAATTTAGCACTGCCGCTATAAAGGAGAAAAGATTCGGGGCTTCAAACTCACCTGCTTTGTTTTTTACCTTTTTGGTTGTTGGGTTTTCCTCGACCGGCTCCCTTTGCGCGTTTTCATCCATTTCGGTGTCTTTTTTGCATGAGGATTTTCTTTAGTTTAGTTCCCAAAATGATCCGATGATGATTTTGAACTCTTTAGTGTAGCTTTTGATATTGTCGCAGGCTCACAACTATGGCTAGTTGAGCTCCCACTAGCAGCTGAATTGTTGTCTTCATTGATTAGTTTCATTGCTCGTAATGAGTCCAATTGCAATTGGACTTTCCTAAAGTCTAACAGCCATGCGACTTGTAGTCCAAAAAATACAGCCCAGAGTTCTAGTTCCAGTACAGTATAGTCCCCAACCTTTGCAGTGTAGCCCATTAACCATTTTCCTTCATGGTTGCTATCCATTTGATTCCTTGGTAGCTGTCTGCCATACTTTTGATATTTGCTTCCCTAGTTGTGATGGTTGGTTTGTCCTCGATTGTTGGTTGACATATTTTGCCTTGAGAATGCTGGTCCAAAGAGTTTCCTTCCCTGACAGGAGCTCCCATGCCAACTTTAGTATAAATGTGGCGTTTACATTTCTTAGTTTGCGTAAGTCTAGGCCACCCCGACTCTTTGGTTGGCAAACCTTATCCCAGCTGACAAGGTTTATTTTCTTTTCCCCCAGTGAGCTCCCCCATAGAAATTATCTCTTAATTTTGTCAATCTCATCACAGGTTCCCTTGGGGTGCGATTGCATGAGGTAGATGGGTATAGCAGTAATGATTAACTGGCAGAGGGTCAGGCGTCCTCCCATCTGATTTTCTTTTGGGGACCAATGTGAGGATCTCTTCTTGACTTTACAGATTATGGACTGATATTTGTTCTTTGTTACGTGCCCATGGATGATTGACGCTCCCAGGTAACTACCTGTATTGTCCACCATGTCTCCACATCAGTGTTTGGTGAACAATACAATACTGATTTGTTCGCATTAATTGTCTGTCCTGATGCTGCACAGAATCTCGCGAGTGTGTTGCGAATGATTTGCACTTGGTCTCTGTTCGCCTCTGCAAAAAGTATCAAATCATCAGCAAAAAATAGATGTGAAAGGGGTACCTGGTCGCTGACTTGCTGCCAAAAGTCAGAGGTTTCTATCGGTTTGATTGTACTTCCTGAATGATTCCGTGGGATAGTCTTTCCATGCAAAGCACGAAGATATAAGGACAGAAGGGGTCTCCCTGTCTTACTCCTCTTGAGGGGTTGAAGGATTCTCCTAATTGGTCGTTCCATAACACTTGGGTGGATCCGGTTCTAAGAGAACTGAGTATAATGTCGCTGAGTGTCCGCGGGATTCTCGCATCGCTTAATGTTTCCTCGATGAAGGTCCGGGTGATGCAATCAAATTCTTTTGCTAGATCAACTTTTATTGCCATCCAGCATTTTTTGGTTTTTGTGTTTTGCATAGTATGTATTGCTTCCTGTGTGGTTACTATGTTGCCAATGATGCTTCTGTCGGATATGAAGCCTGACTGTGTCGTAGCGATAAGTGATGGCATAACTTTTTTCAGCCTATTTGCAATTACTTTTGAGATGATCTTGGCTGAAACATTTATGAGGCTGATTGGTCTCAGTTTCTGAAATCTTTCCAACGGGGTGACTTTTGGAATTAGTATCACCATCACTTTGTTGATGTCTGGATTGACTTTACCTATTAAAATACTTCTCTTACCATTTGACATGTACTTTTTCCTATAGTGTTCCAATTATTTTGATAGAAGCCGGCTCCAAATTCATCTATCCCGCAACTTTTAGACGGGTCCATTTCGTAGACAGCCGTCTTTATTTCTTCATCTGAGTTCTTTGGATAGCTGTCTTTCAAGTCTAGCTGGAATAGGGAAAAACTTCCCTGTAATGTAATAGTTCTGTTCTGGATTTGTTGAACCTGAATAAATATTTCGAAAGAAACAAGTTGCCTCTTTTCCTAACCTTGTCTGGTCTGAGCATCATTCACCATTTTCTAGCTGCATTTCTTTGATTTTCCCTTTCTAATTTTTTAGCCTGTGAATTGCATGGAATGCCTTCGTGTTTCTGTCTCCTTCAAGTATCCATAGTGATCTGGAATTCTGGGCCTTTAATTTTTCTTCTTGGGTGATTGTCACTTCGTATTCAGCCTTTAATTATTTTTCCAGATCTTCTAGGGTAGATGAGTGGTAAAGAGCTAAAGCTTTCTGGATTCCTCCTATCCTTGCTATCAGCTTTCTTTTTTCTTATATATGTCCACAAAGATAGTAAATTTCCAATCGTCAATGTTTTGTTTCAGGATTTGGAGTGCTTCTGGAAGGCTTTTGTTTTCTGGCCAAGTTTTGGAGAGCCAGTTTTGCCATTCATTGTGTTCCTTCCAGGCTGATAAGTATCTAAAAAATTTGGTGCCAGTGTTTGGTGAATCGTTCCTGGAGAATTGAACTATGATGGATGAGTGGTCTAATGCATTCTTTGGTAGGTGTTGACATGTTGTGTTGGTGAAGTGATCCTGCCATTTTGCGTTGACTAATGTTCTGTCTAAGCGTACATAGCAAGTCCTTCTCTTCCCTATTTCCTTGGAAACCCAAATCGACCATTTCTGACTCTTGGATCCAAGTTTGGAATCTTTTACAATCTTTGGTTTTCCTCCCTCCTATCTTGTCAGCTTCGTCTGTTATGGCATTGAAGTCTCCAAGCACTATCCAAGGGTCTATTATGATACCTGCAATGCGATCAAGATCTATCCATAGTGTACGCCTTGTTAGCCTTTGAGGGCTATCGCACACGGTGGTGATGTAGCAGAAGGAGTTATTCTGGAAAAAGGGCTATCGCACACGGCGGTGATGTAGCAGAAGGAGTTATTCTGGAAAAAGGCTTTGCAGTTGATAAACTGCCAATTGCTTTCAAGAATAATTACTTTTATAGGATCATGCCAGAGTAGCCAAATTCCTCCCGCAAACTGATTCAACTCTGTGGGAATTACTGAAGCCTGTATTTTTTAAGATTTGTTCTGCTGAAAATCCGTTTATCTTGGGTTCCAGTAGACTTAAAATTTGTACATTGTATAGTTTTAGTAGGTCTTTTATCTTAGGTTCCAGTAGACTTAAAATTTGTACATTATATAGTTTTAGTAGGTCTTTTAACACTGACACAGTAGTATCATTTGCGATACCCTGTAGATTCCACGACATGATTTTATGATTTATAATTAAAATGATAAGTTGAAGAAGGGTTACCTGTCGGCGTCCGGCAGCATTTCATCATCTGCCGGGGCCATGATAAACTGCATTTAAACCAAAATATGGCAAGCAGAAAATAAATAATCATTACACTACAACTGCAAATATTCATCAAAATCATCAGTCACTGTCAGATTCTGAACCCCAAAACTTAGAATATGGCAAACTTGATTGAAATGAAATTGGAGAAGATGCATTCTCGAAGTCCATAAAGCATAGAGAACCTCGTTCTCCGGCAGAGCCAGCAATAACAATTCTAGAACCCTTTGTCGCCACTGCAGAGCAACCGAAAGAAGATTCAGAATCTGGGCTGCAAGTGAATGAGTTAGCTAAAGATCCAGTGTCAGATTCCTAAACTTTCACATAAGAATCTTGAGGTCCGCATGTGACTATTTTATAAGCATCTGCATGTACGTGCTTCACCGGGCCAAAATGTGCATTCAATTCTGCGACTGGTGCAGCTTTAAACATATCAGAACTTCTTCTCATGTCAAAAAGTGTTACACTGCAATAAGTTCAATGTTCCTTTAGCACCTTCACATGTCCAATTAGAGGAAGAAGAGATATAACAAAACAATGGATTTGGTAATTTTGTACTCACAAGCCTACATATATGAACATAACTGAACTTGCAAATTGAAATCCATCAAAGAATTTTCAAGGGTTTAGTTTGCCTGCCAGTCCCATCCCCCATGCAGATTAAGGATTTTGAAGGCAGGATATCAAACGAATGTAGCTCTGTTTGAATCTGAACTCTTAATGCTTCACGCATTGTCCTCAAATCAGTTGCAATAACTGAGGACCCAGCAGCAACATACACCAATGATTCATGGCATTTCATGCCCACGGGAGCACCATGTAAAGTTGTCATTCCCACACAAGAAGAACGGACCGTGGAGCAAGTCGTGTCCCAGACCCTTTTTTTTATGTATGTTACAGGTAAGATAAATAACGGGCAAAACTGACGCATCAAAGACCTAACCATGACAATTTCCAATTGGATATTTAGTAGTTAAGAGCAAAAAACTAATCTGCTGCCTCTATACCTAATCATGGGTGTCAAAATAGCAAATGATCTGCTAACACTTGACTTATTCCTACAACATATGATAAACTAGTATCCATGAGAAAAATGAAATACAACAACGAAACATTATTGAAGGATTAAAGTACCTTGGAATCCCTTGACATACTTACCAGGAGAGATGACTTGTGCCTGTAAAACAGGAAACCAAGTTTAACAATAAATAAAAAATAAAAAATAACTTGCAGAGTCACACATGCAATCATCTCTTGAAGAGTGGAACAATATTGGGTAAAGATAAAGAATAAAACGTCGGTTTCACTTAGAGAGGGAAGATAATCTTCTGCATAAGAATAAAACTTCAGTTTCACTTATGAGAGGGGAGATAATCTTCTGCTAAAAATGCAGTCTATAGACTCTAGACATAGTTGAAGATAAAAGTTCAATTTAGCCCAACTACTTATAAAGATTCATGAATACATATAAAGAGAAAAAAAAGAAGGATTAGCACTTCCATAAGAAGGGCTTTTACTTTTCAGCTCTTCATAATATGCTGATTATTTATAGCTTCTGACACGAGTACCACGAGAACTACAATACCACACGATCATCTTTTGGAGGATATTATCATAACAAACACAAGTACCCTACTATAACAGTCCAAATAATCCATCAACCATAAGAATCACAACTAAATTACGGAAAGAACAGTTTTTTACTCACGCCGCCACGGACATATGAATTACTGGTTTCTCGTGCCCATACAGGGTACCCCTATGTACATGTTTGCCTTTTTTTCCTTTAGAGTTAATAGACCAAAGGCGAACGGTGCCATCAACACCTCCACTAGCAAAAAGGCCATCACCTAGAATTTTATCTGAAAGAGTAGTAACTTCACCATTGTGTCCTCTGAAACAACGGTGGCAAGAACCCTGCAAATCAGTAAAATTCATAAATTCCGGTTGGCAAGTACTCCTGAGAATAGCTTCAAACTTGTGAATGAATTAACATACACAAACACTTGGCAATTACTAAAAATGAATGGTGACTGTCACCAGATGCTAAACCAATATCCTTATATATACATGTACACCATCAAGCTTCACGAGAAACTTCATCAACTTATAGATTAATTAAGCAAGGAAACAAATTGCAGAAAACAAATCATCATTAGCTGGAATTGCTGGACCGACATTCTCCATCATCTAGTGGCAATTGGGAGTAATTAAACTTTCAGGCAATGGTATATAGTTTACCTCCTTGTATTACAAACAAGGAAAATTTAGGTTTTAAGAAATATTTATTTACAGAAATACACCTTTGACCAAAGACGAATTATATGATCGCAGCTCAAAGTTACCAAGACAGCACTGCCACTCTGCAAGCTTTTTGGGGTGACAGGTGCATTACCCAGGGAATACAACCTGAAGATAGAAAAATTTTACAACAACCATTGGTTATCCAATAACTCCTCAAGGACAATTGAAATTATAGCGAGGAGAGAAAATAGAACCTCATACAGGTAATTCTAGCATGATGATCAACAAATACGAAGCTAGAGTCATATCCACCAGAATTACAACCCATCAATATCCGTAGCATGTGTCCCTACAGCAGACAGTAGAAAGGAAAAGGTTAAAATCGACGACCTCATAACAAGATAACAACTTGTCTAGTATAGACACAGAACACAAACATAAAGGACTATCAAGATATGATTACACTCAAGTATATGATTAAATTCAATGTTAACCTATTGCAAAATTTTGATTTTGAAAACCCGGAATGAACACATATGACATTATTCATATTATTACAATTTGCAAACACATAAGCCCCAGGTGAAGAATCCTTTTAAATTTCTGAAAACCAAGAGGTCCAAGACAAGTAGGCATCCACTGGGTTGATGGTTTCAACCTAAAATAAGCACAACTTGGAGCCGAAAAGAAATGAAATCTGTTACTACTAAATGACCTACCTGAGAAAACATTATATCATCTTCTAACAAAGTAAGGTGATCTTGAGGCTTTAAATTACAGTCAAAAGTAGTGATGAAAGGATCTTGAAATTTCAATTGCTGCGTGGAAGTGTGCCTGGCCAAGTACGAGTTCCTGACTCCAGATTCATAAGGTATTGGAGAAGGCCATCGTGCTCTGCAAGCTCCCACACACAAACACGAACCAAAAAAAACAAACTTTCAGCACATCAACTGCGATGCAGATGATTGAAAATTAATGAAATCAAAAACAGCTATCTCAAATTGTAAATCAAAGAACCAGCATAAAGTAACAGATTAAATCAAGATCGCACTGAAACTATAACGAAGACGGTGGCAGCTGGTAAATTAAAGAATTCACCTGTAGATAGGTTGCCAGATGTAATCGGAATAAGCAACGTTCTTCATGAGTTTGGAGGAGATAGCCATGTTAGTGATGTCTTGAATGCTCAGGAATTTGGTGCAATGAGCCAGAGAATCCATGTTTAAGTCAAGTATGGTCGTGGGCTGCTGCTCCGGCTTCGCCATTCTTCCTCCCCCTTCGTTCTTTCTTTCCTTCCCACTAATGGGGAAAAGAGCTGCCCTCTTTTAGTCTTTATGCTGATAAATTCATTAATTTATTACAAATCTTCTGGCAGCGATTGATAATTTATTTATTTTTTCATATTTATACGGTGTCCACCATCGGCAACAGTAAGTAATCCCCTTACTGAATTGTAAGCACCTTAATTGATAAAAATAAGATACAATCATAAAAACACAACTTACAAACAGTCACAATGCCATTGTTGTATTTCGTTACATGGATAAACCTATACTGATCTACTCCATAAAATACACGTGCCAAATTTTTAATTCTGATCAAGGATACAACACTAACCTTCGATTGAAACCCCCAAATCATAAACCTAATAATAATTAGATCTACTATGACTGAATCTTCTTGAACTATGCCTGCCAAACCGACGAACACCTTGAATGAAGCCGTCACCGCCGTATCTGCATACATCACCGACGAAATCGCCGCCATACTAGCAACATCAACTAGGATGCTGCCGTCATACCTGCAAACATCGATAAAGATGTTGTCTCCATACTGTAGATAATAATCTACAAGCCGTTTATTGAAACTAAATTAAAACACAATTAAAAGGCTAAAGGATATGAGTAGAATTATTTTCCCATCCTTCAAATGGCGGAAAGATGGGAGAAGATTAATTTTTTTGTTTTTGGGGTTTGAGGGAGAGGGAGAGGCTAAAGCATAATTTTGGTTATATTGTCTTATAGACTTAATAGTTTGGAAAACTTACACCTCAACCCCTAAACTTGGGCAAATGATACTAATGTCCAATTTACTATCACGTATTTTTTTGTTGACCTTGACCAATATTACGCTAGTATTAACATCTCCTTTCAACTTTAAAAACAAGTGAAAGACACTTGTCCGATATTGGAGTTGGGAACTCAACTTGATCAACATATATATCCAATGTGCTACCCCCGTCATTGTCAATTGGTTTTGAGGTTGAACCACATGTGGGTTTATATGAGCCTTCAAGAAGTAGCATGATTAGTTATGGGTGTGGTTATTCATATATTTTGATTTTGGTGAATGGAGAGGACAATGATCAATTCATAGACGAATCGATTGGGAGAATGCGTATCCCAACTAGCAAAATACCTGTTAATATATCAGATGAATTATGAATTGTATATATGCACTTCATGTAATTAATGCAACTTACGAATATGATGTTGTCACGAAACGCCATGTTTAAACAATGGCATGAAGGAAAATATTTGTCATTCCTCCAGGGACAGCTGAAATAATCTGCTAAAGAAAAACTCATTCAATATATCAATGGAGAAGTAAAATTTCAAATTCTCATAAATAAATTTTAACCTTAGTATTTTAATATTGTCAATGGAAAAGTGAAGACAACGAACCAACCACGAGAATTACAATAACACACGATCATCTTTTGGATGTTATAGGATATTATCATAACAAACTCAAGTACCCTCTATAGAATAATTCTTGAATCTTTATCTTCCGCTTTTTTGAATCAATCTCCGATTTTCATTCGTATTCTTCGATTCAATTTTTGAATCTTCTTTTCCTTTGATTAATTGATAAAATCATCAATTTAGTCCTTTCTAAGGTTAACGTCCTGTTGTCTCTTCCACCATCTGAAATCATTCTGCCAAATCCGATTCCATTTGATCTTCTGGAGCCATATGCCAACCGAAATTTCCCTCTTCTCCGGCGAAAATGTCGGCGATGGCTCACATTGTCGTCAAAATACCTTGCCCGAATCCACCAGTAAAATCAAAATCAATAGAAAGAGGTATACAACAACCAGGAGAACATAATCTGAGTCAATTGGTACTAGTGGTTGGGCTGCTAATTTGGTCGGTTCCGGCTCGGTTCGGGTGAAGTTGGTTCGGATAATTCAGTTTTTTCATTTTCCGTCACCCGCCCAAAACCGAACTGATATTTCACCTCTCCTAAACCAAACCGACTGATTAAACAGTCGAGGGGATTAGGTCGGGGGCCGTTTAAACTGAACAAAAAGGCCAAACTTAAATTAGGCCAATTTTTTTTTACAGGATTTCAAATCCTGATTCAACTATCAACTATGGAATGGAAATCACAAGTTCACAACACACAAATGCAAAAAAACTGATAAAGAGAGGATTTCAAAAAAAAAAAAAAATCACAACACCACATGGAATGGAAATATGAATATGTAATGGTCACAACTCACAAGTCAAAACTCAAATGATCACACAAATGAACACACAAGTGATCAGTGATCATCTACTCAACTAATCAACTCATTGAACTCACAAATGATCAACTTCAAGTTCACAACACACAAATGATACAAATGGAAATGGTCATTACAATATTACGCATCACAAAGTCTAATAATCAAATTTGAATTCAAAACATTCTGAACAGAAAGTATCAAAGCAGCATCAACAGAGATATAGAACAGACTTGCAAATAACAGCAGTTCAGTTGATCAGTTCAGTCTTCATTCTTCAACAGGCAACAACAACAGCAAACAGGCAACAGCAACAACATCATAGTTGATCAGTTCAACTTCAAGTCTTCAAGCAGGCAGCAGCAACAGCAAACATGCAACACCAACAACAACTTTCAGAAAAAAAAAGAAAAAGAAACAGTCAATCAGTTTGCAAAATTGAAGAACTTGGAAGAAGAAAACAGAAGTAAAGTCTAGATTTTAGAACGTACCTATCAGACCCAGTTTTCTTTCCCTTTTTAGTAGCTGGAAAAAAAAAAGAAACAAACACTCAATCAAGTTGAAACTGCCAGGCTAAAACTTTAAAATGTAAATGAACAACTGAAACTGTAAAAACTGTAACCTTCTTCCATGTGAAAGAGGTCTTCCCAACTCTCTTCAACACCTTCCTCTTCAACTTCTCCCCGAAGCCAATCCTGAGTGCAAATCAAGCACTGAACAGTCTTTAGAGTTAAAGAACTTTTAAATGCATCAAACACTCTGTCACTTGTGCTAAAACATGATTCTGAAGCCACAGTTGAGACGGGAATAGCAAAAAGATCACGAACCATCAGAGAAAGGATCGAAAACCTAGAGCTGTTTACCTTCCAACAGTTCAAAACCTGTACAATTTGGTTCATCATCCTCGTTTAAAAACTTGTCCGATTCTGTTTTTCACTTTTGTTTATGCAACCACCAGCTTCTTTAGTTTTCTTCTTTGCCAACTCCATCCTAAACTGATCTCTAAGCAGCTTTGAAGGCTCGATATCAATCGAGGAAAGTCTTTTCCCCGATGATGTTGCTTGAGAATAACTGGAATCAGAATTGGAAGGCGTACTAGAACTAGGTATAGGGACATGGATTCTAACATAATCCGCAAACAACTCATAAATGGCATGTTTTAATATATGCATATTTATTTTTCCCATCCACTACCCCATAAACTTGTTGAAATACAACTTCAATGTATTTCAACTTATTTCTAGGATCAAAAAACATGACATCAAAACAACAAGATTCATCGACACAATAGAACCATAGTATTTATCAAACTTATCCTTTATCCTTTCAGCTATCATTTTTTTGACCATTATCATCGGTTTCATTGATGATTTTCCTTACCGAAACTTCAATACAATGTACATCAGTGAAGAAAGAATCTGAAGAGACAGATTTTGTACGAAATAGCTTCAAGTTTATCTCATAAAATGCTGAAGAATACCAGCAACCCTCCTAGCTTCAAACCAATCTATTGAAGTAGGCAAACTAGGCCCAGAATTTGGCACTTCAGGATCATACCTCAAAGTGTCTTTAAAGTGATGATTTCCAGTTTCGTATCTCCTAAAAGCTCTTTCATACACTTAAGCAGTTTCTAGCATTAAGTATATACTATTCTACCTAGTACAAAAGTCTAATAATAGATTCTTAGAGCTACCACACTTCTCAATTTCACCATATTTTTATAACTTGCCAATCTTTAAGGAGAATGCCTAATATACTTAACTGCAGACCTAATCCTATCAACAGACTTGCCTATCTATGTCAAATCATCTTTAACAACCAGATTCATCACATGAGCCATACAACGAACATGTAACCATTTAGCACCCACACACACTTTTCTCGGTGAGCAAATTGCTCTTTCAAATACTCCATGGCAGAATCATTTGAAGAAGCATTATCAACAGTTATCAAAAACACATTTTCAGTTTCAATTTCCCAATCCATCAAACATTTCTCAATTGCTTCGCCAATATCTAAACTCTTATGACTAGTAATAGGGACGAAACTTAAAATTTTCTTTCTCAAAGTCCAATTAATATCCATATAATACCTAGTCAAACACATATAATTTATTTGCTGCAAAGAAGTCTAAGTATCCGTGGTGAAACAGATTCTACTAACATTTCCTTTCAGTTCACTTTCATTTTTTTCCTCTCAGATAAATGAAGTTTATAACATTCATTAGGCATTGTTTGCCTACCCTTAGGCACAAACTGCGGCTGCAACTTCCTTAGAAAATATCTAAAACTTTTCTTGTCAACAAACCTAAAAGGCAATTCATCAACAATTATCATGCAAATCATTGCCCTAACTATTTCTTCTTCATTATACCTCCAAGTACCTACACTCGGAGGTTTTCCCTCCCCAGTTTCAATAAGTAACTTACTCTGACCATGATCATAGTTCAGAGATAAGTACTTTTTACAAACCTGCAAATGTGCCTGAAGACTACTAGTCCATGTTTTTTACTATCAGCCATATACGAATTACCATAGTACTTACAATTAGCCCATAAAACACCTTTAGCATCTTTATGAGTAGTGAAGTGAGGCCATACCATAGAGCGGTTACGAGTTAACCTGCGCTGCTTCGGCTTTGGAACCCTAGCAGCTTGAGCTTCAGTCCCCCGTTCCTTAATCTCTACATTTATCATCAATCCTTCACCACTGGGCAAATCCAGCAGAGGAGGAGGCAGTAAACCTGTCTCGACTTCAATCTCCTCAATATCCTCAAATTCAGAATCTAGTTCTGACATCTACACAGATAAAAAGGAGAAAAAAAAAAAGCATTTTAGTCACCTACTGCAGGCAGCAACAAGCATTTTACACAAAACACTGAAACAGATCGCAAAAAGTACAAAAAAAACTGATCAAGGTACAACACATGTACAGTACATGATATCAGCAATCATAGGCAATCAAGGTACAAAAAAACCCTATAGAGCAACTACTCCAACACACTATTAGCGCATAAGCAACAACACATGAAACAGCAAGCCAGGAAAAACAGAAATTGTCAAAAAAAGCTTACCTTTAAGATAGCTTAACAACCTCAAGCTTTAATTCTCAGCCCTGTATTAAAAGAAAACAAAAATAGACAATAATGATTCATATGACCAATAAAAAACTCTGAAGTAACTTCATTTTTAAATAAACGTCAACAATACTCAACATTTAACATTCAGTTTTTAGTTCTTACTTTAAATACAATAGCAATATCAAGCTTCAATTCTCAGTAAATCAATCCTGCACTTATAGAAAACAAAACAATCCGTAAGGAATTATATCATAAGTTTTCAAATAAAAGTTAAACTTGAAAAGATCATAACACAATATTTATCAAGCCAGCATGTTTCAAAAAGACTAAAGTGATCAAGACAACTTGTTTATTCCTCGCTTACTGACTACATAATCAACAACACATTATATGATATCTGATCCATATATTGCAGTACTCAATCCACTACACATTCAGGAAAACAACCAGCTACACCACATGAGAACACACAACAACAGAACAACATTTTCAAAATACGGAAACAATATTCAATCACCAGTTAACATTCAATCATCAGTTATTCAGTTAACAGTTACAGTGAACTCAATCAGAAACAACAACAGTCACAAGTCACAACTCTCAACTCTGAACTCAATCACTCACATGCAATCACCACTCACAGTGTACTACACTAGTAACACTACTATAGTACTAATAATCATGTTTATTTGCCGATAAACAGTCCAACAAAAACTCAGAAAGATTAACAAAGGTAACTAGGAAAAAAAAAGTATTACCTTGAACTTGAAGATAGTAACGGCTTGAAGCTTCAATTCCTAGTCCTGCTCCTGCATTAATAAAAGAAAACAAAAACAAATAAACAATCATTCATAAGCACAGGAGAAATTGAGTTATCAAAGGACTGCAAAAATAAAGCTAACTCTTCAAATGTACATAAAATAGTTGAGCAAGCAAACCATATCAAACACAGTAAGATTTAGGAGCAAAATAGGTCCTAGTTTCTTACTCCAAACCCACAAGTACTATAAGGTTAAACAGCGCAACTAATGAAAACGAAAAGGTAGTAAACAGAAGCAATTTTTTTCCTGTTTTTGGGTGAGTTCTAAAGAACTACGATGCTAAGTTGCTAACAGCCTGGACTACAATGCTCTTGGTAACATATGAAGTCTTTTACGAAAAAAAACTTGACGAAAAAATTGTTCTTCGTATTTTACCTGGACGGTGAGGTCACTTCGAATCTTTACTCTTTCACTCTTCAGAATCAGAGCAACATCCTTATTCTCTAAGCTTTTGGATGAATCGATTTAAAAAACCAATTTGGACTGAAACCCTAGATCTGGTTTTGGATTGGATTGGTGGTAGATTTGTTCGATTAAGTGGGTTGTGGAGGTGGAAAATGGGAAAAAGAGTCGTGGAGGTGGATGAATCGAATCAATCGACCAAAAAAAAAGTCCCAATTCGGGAACCCTGAAATGAAACCCCAGGAATGGTTTTGAGTTGGATTTGGTCGATTAACTGGGCCGTAGAGGTGAGAAATGGAAGGGGGAGTCGTGGAGGTGCATGTGGAGATGGGATTGTGGTGGAAAATGCCGGCGGCGTATGATCAGAGTCGACGGCAACGCAGCATCGACGAAGAAGAAGGAGAGAATGGAAACGAAGAAGAAGAAGGAAAATGATATCTGAAAAAAATGAGAAGGAAACCCTAAACGTTGACCGGTCCTATATATATTTAATAAATTAAATAATAAAAAATTAAATATTTTGAATTAATCGGGTATCCCTGAAAAACAACTATAAAAATTGACTCCGAACCGCCTAAACTAATCGGTTAATTAAGTGAGGCCGAAATTTCACCGATTAAGCCGATTAGCCGACCCGATTTGGCCGAATTAACTTCGGGCCGGGCGGTTTATCAGGTCTACCCAATTAATCAGCACTCCTGGTTGTCCCTCCGTACTTATCGAAGGCGTTCTATGCAAAACCGCACTTGAAGCTCAAAGCTCATTCTGCATCTTATGATTCTAGAGATTTGGTCTGGCTGGGGAAATAGTCCGTAATTTAAACATTTCACCATTTCTTGCCCAAAACTGGCCCGGAACGAACCACCGTAGTTTCTTTGTCACATTTTGAACCATTAGAAAACTTCAGGGAGATAATAGTCTTTGGGAAACTCGGGTTTTTGACCTTTTCCCAGTTTTTTAATTCTCATTTCTCCTCAAAGTCTCAGAGGTCATAGTTTTAGCCCACTGTCAAAAACCCTCACCAGCTCCGCCCCGTCGCCTCCCGTAGATGGGTCGCGCCACCGTCATCCTCCTCGTCCTCCACTACCTACTCTTATCCTCAACCAGCTCCACCGCTTCCGCAGCTTACTTGGGCCTAGGTGCCTTTCTCAGCGAGCAGTACCGGCGTGATCCACAAGCCAACAATGACTCATTCCTCTCACTTCCCACCTCCTTAAAGAGATCTCTCGCGGTTCCCTCCATTCAGAACCCGCCGACCCCGAATTCTCTGCTTTCCCTTCAAGTTTCAGTTCCTATCACCGTGAAGCTGGTCGGACCCACCTTCACCTCGTCGTCGCCGTCCCTTCTTTCGTCTTTCGTCGCCTCCGCCGTCTCCTCCGATCAGTACCACGTCATCACCCCGTTGTCCTCCTCCGATTCTCACCACCTCTCACTCTCTCACTCCCTCCACCTCGATGTCTCTTTATCATCTCCTTCTCTTGCTAATCGACTCTCGGAGGCGCTCAAAACCCATCTATCCAGTACTCCAGCTCCCATCCGAAACCCTTTGACCGGCGTACCTTACAATCTAATCGACAAGGTTATTCAAGAAGATTTTGAAAGAGACCAGCCTGTTGATGGAATTTATATCTATATCCTCCATTTGGGTTCTCAATCCAAGAACTATGCTTACAGCTACACTGCTGGGGATCCCTCCCCTGGTGTTACCAAGTGTATGGGCTCTGTCTGGACCGGAAAAGAGCGTTACATGTGGATCGATTTGGGTGCCGGACCGGTGGACTATGGGCCGGCTTTGTCCGGCGACGGTGTCTTGCCTAGAGGTGAATTCCATCCTATGGCGACAATGCACGGCCGTCCCAAGTCTCAGAAGGCGTTGCTAGCTGACTTGGCATCCCTCGTTTGGAGTGCTTATCAGGTTCTGTTTGTGCCTTCTTTGAGAATTCCTGTGCCATTTGAGAATTCTTTGATAGTTCAATTCATACATATACGTGGTTCTTCTTCCGATACTTATGGGTTAGATTGGAAGTCAATAGAGAGAAGTTTTACCGATGAGGTTAAAGGGATGTTGTTGCCTGATCAGAAGTTGAGTTTTAAGAATTATGAGATCAAATATTCCGAGTGCGCATTGTGTGCCTTTACCATTGCGAGGGCAACCACTTCCTATACTTCTAGGTACTTGTTTGAGAATTATACTTTGATTGTCAGTGAGTACTTGGACTCCAAGCGATTGCATCAGACAATTTCTAAAACAGCTGAAGAATTTAGACGGTTGGCAAGTCTTCCTGAGGAAGACTTTGGTAGTAGGGTGCTTCCTGTGTACGTGTTTGATCTGGATGTTAACACGATTTTGCTGCTTGATCGGTACCACCAATCTGTTTCCTTCAAAGATATGGTAATTGCTGTCAGAACAAAGAATACTCAGACTGTCAGTGATTACAGTTGCAATGGCCGTCATGTGTTTACACAAACTCGAGAGCTTGAGAGACCACTTGTGGGTTCTATTCTGCAAAGTATGTGGGGAGTTTCGCCTACGCATCTGATGTGGAGCCCTAGGCATAATAGTACACTGGTGGATTATACATGGAGTATTGGGCAAACACCATTTGGACCCTTTTCCGAGATTTCTTCGTTATCTTTTGTTCAGAAGGATGCAGCCAAGAGAAATGTGCTACTGACAACATTTAATTACACTATATCTAGTGCTATTGATGTTCTGGAATCTATTTCTGCATATGGTGGGGAGGGGAAGATTTTCAGAAAGAATCGGCAGATTGAGTTCACTCAGAGGTGGAATTTATTCAAGTACAAGCTAGACAAAGCCATTTCATCACTGTCACATTTTGATTATGAGATGGCTTTATTCTACTTGAGGTCTTCAGATACCGATTTATATGCCATTCACTCGTTTGTTTATCATGCATCTCAAGAGTTGGAGGCCACGCTCACTTGTTTCAAGGACCCACCATTCCCATGGGGGTCTGTAACTATGTCTGCTGGAGTCTTTGTTGCTCTAATATATGTTTACTCAAAAAGAGAAATGTTGTTCAAGAATAAGAGAAAACAGTTTTGAGATCTTTCTAGATTATTTCTTGATGGCAGCTTTTATAGTACTGTATTTCTGCTAGAAAGTTTTAACTGTATACCACTCTTGAGGTTTTTAACTAGAGTTGCTTCAATTATGGACCAGTTTACCTTTTTAGTTGGTTTGGTTTTAGGAAATCTGCTGGTTCTGGTTCTATGTACGATTCCATGATGCTAACGGAAGCTTGCAGTTTTTCTTCCCGTTGATGAACTGCAACTTATTTATGTTATTTACTCTGATCTGAAACACTAGTGTTAATTTGTATCACTATAAGTTGGTGGTAGTTTTGTGTGGAACTTTTAGTTAGACAACTATCTGAATGTTCATTTGGTTTCAGTATCTGGAGATGGTGTTATGCGTAAAGTTTCTAGTGAGGTAGCTAGTTACTTCTGAGATTCCATTATATTGTTGTCCTTGTGATTAGTATTTCCCTGTCTGATTGAGAAAGAGGTGGTAGCGTTAGCAAGTTACTAAATCTATGCTCTTGTGCTTCATGTAAGTTAACTGAACAGTGGAAATATGTGTTAATCATATTATCCTCTCACTTCTCTTCTGACACATCGTGAAGAGATGATTATATTTCGTTTTGTGTGGCTTATTAGAAGCTTAGTTAATGCAGAAGACTCTGGGACTCTGATTGTTGACAGGCAGCAATATCTGTCCTTAATCCTTATACAGGCATAACAGTAGCTTGTCATTTGTAAAGAAAGGTCTATCTATTCATATATTACTGTGCTTTTCCAGATGCACTTTTCCTTAGTTCTGGGTAGAATGTTTGAATGAATTCGTTAGAGCAGAAATCTGCCATTGTTGACAGGCGTGAAGACACTGTCCTTTTTTATAGTTTTAACAGTAGCTTGTCCTGTGTAAACAAAGGTAGATAATATCATTTTGTAGCGCTATTCATATGCACATTTCCTTAGTTCTGCATACCATGTTGGAAGAAATGTGAAAAGCAGAAGTCTGTGATTGTCGACAAGCAACAAAATAGCAGTACTTTATACCGGGGCAACATTAGCTTGTAATGCATGAAAAAGGTGGATCTATTTAGACATCATTGTGCTGAGTTCCTTTTGATGTATATTCTTATTTTACTTGGATGCACTTGGCAGTTCAATTCTGTGAGCAGGCTGTTTCCGGAAGTCTTAGACTATAGATTCTCCAGGCCGTCATAGTTGAAATTGAATGGTTCTTGCAATTCAACGTCATAACCATCAGAGGAGAGGACAAATGGGATATCTCCATTTCCGTTGTTAAACATCCCGGACAAGTATTCACTGTTAACCTCTTGGGACAGGTTGCTGCTGCCACCATCAGGGCAGTTGTCCTCTTCTGATAGTGTCAAATTTTTCTCGACAAGTTCTCTGAAAATTGAAGATCGTAGTAGAAGGCCAAGTGCTGTTGGTGACGAGGACTTTTTGCGTACTACCGGCAACTTTGCATCACTCACGTCATACTTATTGAGATCCCCAGTGCTGAAGGATCTTTGAAAGAAAAAGGACTGGGAGTTCTCAGCTGCATAGAAGTTGGGGGAAGGAAGGGCATGTGGGCTTGTGGTTGTCTTTGATTCCTGAATTGAAGCTTGACCGTTTACTCCTGGCTTCAACCATCTGATGTAAGTGCTCAAGTCGAAATTAGTCACAGCGTTGATCCCTCTGTATTCAATTGCAGCAATATCATAAGCCCGGGCAGCTTCTTCTTGGGTACCTGGTTCGTGATAGTGCTCAGTCACATGCTTTTAAGCTATGGTTAGGAATAATAATGTTTTCCCGATACCTGAAGAATTGTACATTAAATCGACCAATTGGATTAGTTGTTCGGGAGTTTTTAACTTACTGTAAGTTCCTAGGTAGAGGTATTTGTTCCCAAAAACTCTGCCAATTCTTGCTTCCCATCTTCCGTTATGATGGTGCCTACAGAATGACAGTGACAGGATTTAGGAGTTTGTTAACGTCATTTCAGTTTAAACTAGTTGATTCTGTAATGTGTTTTAAGAGTATACCTCGCGACGCCCCTGTATTTGGAGACTCCTCTCGAGAAACCACTACTTTTCCTACAGCGGGAAAAAAACAGAGTGATCATTGGTAAAAACAATCTTTTGCAATGAAGTATAGAGAGGCTTAATGAGATGGCTACCTTCTCAGTGAGGCTAGGTACTCTTCTTTGGTTACTGTCTGCATTATTTCAATTTCCTTTTCGTAGTCAGTTATCTGCAGAAAAGTGTTAGAAGCAGGTATCAGAAAGAAGCCTTTTGGTATAATAATACTGTAATCCATATGGTACTAATATGACTAATCAAGGGCTGCTTGTGAGTTGTTTTGGATTTTTACCGGAAAATTAGTGAAAGTTGATGTTCCCCAGTATTTGATTGCAGCTAAATCATATGCTCTTGCAGCAGCTTCTTCTTCATCATAGGCACCTATAAATTTGCAAAGGGATGTTGTTTCAGTGATAAAATCTTAAAACTCTAATCACCATTTTAGCATACTTATAACTCCGAAAACAAAGATTCTCAAAAAAAAAACTTACCTAGATAAACTGTTGCATTCCAGAATTTCCGGGGTAAAGCGCGATGAAACCATGAAAAATTGAATGTTAAATGCCATCTTAGAAAGCTCAAAAGATAGTAGACATGTTGTATGAACTTCATCTAAGTACCTTGTTTTCCTTTTTTCTTTTGTGTTACATTCCAAGAAAGCTTGTCCCACAAGTGTGCTTCATATCGACCAGTCCATCTGTGCCTGCTTACCCCTCGGAACCTGGAACTCCTTTTCACCGTTGTCGGCGCAGAGGAGGGTTGATCAGCCTGCTCCATCTGTTCTCGCACCTGTAATCGTTGTCCCGGAATCTGATGGCTGGAAACTTCAGCATTAGTACCATTCTGATTCTGATCTCTTCTTCGACGCTTAACAGGCTTCCCGTCAAGAGCTTCACCATCCAACATGCACACACGACGTTTTCCTGGATTCTCTTCACTCTTAATCATGGTAGACATCTTGCACAAATTCCCTGTAGTTTTACTGTTAGCTGAATATTCTTCTTGTAGTTCACAGCCTTTTGTAGAGAATGCCATCTTGTGCATATATATACATAATCGTAGGTGTGTTAAGTTTGGCAATTGTTTTACTCACAGCTTGTTGATTGCGACCACAATGGCGATAAGGCCAATGTTGAAGGCAAACGTTTTCAGAACAGCTGAAGACAAAAATGGCTCCGTCAGCCTAGTCTTTTGCCAGCCCAACGAATTTGAATTTCTGGGTGCTTCGATTTTTGAAAGTGAGAACAGATTTCTGTATCCTGTTTTAACGATTTGTTAAATGGTCATTCAAATCACATTATTTACCCAAATCCCGTAAAGCATCTTTGAGTGATGCAAGTTGGAGATCGAAATTACATTAATTAGCTCGTTAACACGCTAACTGACTCCTTCTGATCTTTATAATAAGGTATTTTGATTTATACTAAATTTCATTTCGTATGTTTTTTTAAAATGAAAATAAAACTTTAGAAACGTATTTATATACTTATTGTGTTCTTCTATTTATTGTAAAATCTATTTAAAGTTTTATTTTCAATTCGAAAAATATATTAGGTGAAACTTAGAACCAATGAATATTACCTCTTTGCAAGTAAATCGATATCTCTATGCATCAACATTATAACCTACGAATGCAATCGTTATGAGTTTTAGGAATTGAGGAGCTGAATCACTCAGCTGGAGAAAATGATAAAATCTGAGTCCGGACAACAATTTCATTCACTAAGTTTCTTACGAAACTCCCCGGGGTGAAAGAGAGCCAAAGAATTTACTAGCATCAACTTCTTAGGAATTTACACCGGAAAAAACCTCTAATTTGTCTTGGTACTGCTACAGCTTGCTTGGTTAATAATAAGTCTGAAAATTGGGGTGGCTAACATGAAATCGATTCTGGTTTTGTCCACTATGAAGACTTCCAAATTCATGACGATATTACCTATGGAATCAACTTCTTTGATTATTATTCTTCCACATTAAGTTTTATTCAAGACCGTATTCGTGTTACGTACAAACGTACCTTCCCCTTCTATCCTCACCAAGCGGGAAGCCTTTCGGCTACAAGATTGATTATGGATTCAACTGTTCAAGTAATGTTGTCGAAATGTGGTGAATATGAATGCAAATTGATATAGTACAACAATATGAAGATTGCAATAGAGAGCTTGATATATTCAACGAAGGAATTGACAAAGTCATAACCGACTACTTGAAGAATATTTGATAGACGACAAAGGAGTGAAATGGGTGGGGATTTTCCACATAAGTTCTGGATGCACATTTCGTGTTTGCATTTTTCATTTCTGTACTGTAATTTTTCATTTTACTATATATTTTATTTATATTTATTTAACTAATTTAAAATCATATATATTAATGCATGGGAGATTTGCGGCACTTGTTCCGTTTGTAGAAGCCGAATTTGATAAGTGGAGAAAAGTAGCCCATTTAGACCACCGTAATTTTTGCCTTGTAGTTTTAAATTTTCACCCATTTAGTGTTCGATTTTTAAAGATTAAAATGTATCTATACCTGAATTTTAAAAGTTGTAAGCAGAAGATAATTTTTATCCCTTATTTGTTGCGATATAATTTGTTTTGTGAGAGTCCCATAATTTTATTATTCTGAGTTTGTTTTTTTCATCAGATTTTGTATCTCATCAAATTTTAAAAAAAATTCAAGGAGAAGATAATGTGTATCCAGTTTTTGTTGGAATATGATTTATTGCGTGAAAGTCCAATATTTGATTGACTATAAAATGGTCACCAGTCAATATTTTTCCAAATCTACACCGCTAAAAAATCTCAGATATTTATTTTTTTTTCATTCATATGTTTTTTATAATATTTTGGTTTGAATTTATTTTAGATTGTACATAAGAATTACATAGTTTAAGGTTATGCATCTTTTAACGAGTGCATAAATTTGCGATGGATTTGGAATTCATATTTACGGTGCCGGAAGATGTTGTTAGGAATGGTTGGTAATTTTTCAATTCGTAAATGTTCTTTTGTTTTGGCATAATATGCGAAATTTTTATTTCCAATCCCCAAATGGTCATTTTTTTGGCACTGATTTTATCAATTTTTATGTGAAGGTACTTATCACCGGTAAAGATCAATAATTTTTATGACACTAGCTGTATAAAATAACTGGGAGGCTATTAAACGCCCTAATTTTTTCATTTGAACGCCCTAAAAAATCTCAAAAAGACTATTTTACCCCTGAATTCATTTTTTTTTTTAAAAAAAAAAGGGTGGAGGCGACGGAGCACTGTGCCAGCTTTTCACGACTGGCGCAGAAGAAATGTGCCACCCTTTAAAGGGTGGCGCACAATTTTCTCGCCTCCCAATTAAGGGAGGCGAGAGGAAACTTTACCCCCAAAATGGGGGTGGCGCAAAAATCTGGCGCCACCCCCTTCAGTTTGGCGAGCGTTTTGCTCGCCAAACCGAATTTACTTTTTTTTTTCTTTTTTTTTTAATTTATTTAATTAATTAATTATTTTATTTATTTATTTATTTAAGTTTATTTTTTATTTATCTATTTGGCAGTTAAAAAATATTAAAAAAATAAAGAAAATTATTTTATATTTATCCATGCTTTTTAATTTTTCGTTTCAACGTATTTTAAATTTTATATTTTTTTCCAAAAAAATATTCCCAGGACGGCTAGATGCACCGATGATGAATAATTAATTTGTTTGATAGTAAATTCATAAGTTTTAGTTTTTATTAAATGATAATTTTTTGTTTACGTTTAAAAAATTTTACATAACTAAATGATAAATTTTTATAAAAATTTACTACATAATTAAGCAACATTCTCTAAATATTTAAGTTAAAATTATTTGTTTAACCACCAAACAAATAAATAAAATTTAATAAATAAATAAATTAAGAACATACATGAATTAAATAAATTAAATAAATACATGAATTAAATAAATTCATTAAACTAATAATTAAAATAAATAAAAAAAATTAATTAAATACATTAAAAAAGTTAAATTGAAGATAATTAAATAAATAAAATAAAAATTAGAAAAAAAGTAATTAAAGTGGATGGCGCACAAAATGGCGTCACCCACCCATTGGTTAGCGAGCAAAAAGCTCGCCAACCATCACAAATGTGGCGCCCAGAAGGGCGCCACACCTTCGCCATGCGGCGAAGGTTTTCTCGCCACCCCTTAAGGGGGTGGCTCATTTCTCCCTCGCCATACATTTTTTTTTTGCAAACTAACTTTATTTTGTAAGGGCGTGTATGTCTTTTTCGGGCGTTCAAATGAAAAAATTAGGGCGCTCAACAGCACGACCTAATAATAAATGTAAGAGTTTCATCAAAAGTCAAATTCTAAAGGCCTATCTCTCCCAGCATTTTGGAAGAATATAACGAAGCACATCACCAAGACATCTCATTTTGGAAGGAAAATGCAAGTTCCTTCGAGAGTTGTTGAGGGTCGATCACATGTGAATGTTTCGGCAGTTCATTCTTTTTTGTTTCTCTGAAATAAAACTGCGTTGATGTCCAAGTCCTTGATGTAGAATTTGCGTTTTTAATCTTGGATATTGGGGCATGGTATATTTATCTTTCCTCAAAAACCTTATATTAACATTCTATACCAATTTCTACGTATTGTTTCTTTTTTTTTTGTTTTTGTTTTTCGTATAAAAACTTGTTGTATCAATTCCTTCTTCACTCTATATTTTATTTATTCATTATATTAATCAAATTTATTCCGAATTAGCCATTCTGGTTGTTGGGTTTGAAATTTTTTTTGGTTTGTTTATTTTTTTTAAAAAAACTGATTTGAAGTAAATCTAAAACAAACGAATTAAACTTGGTTTGGGCTCGAATTTTTGGAGCCGCTCAGGTTTTACATTTTCGTTTTCGGTTTGCCGAAAGTAATTTTTGGTTCGCTATTTATTTGGTTGATTTGTGCGTCTCTAATTCGGCAACATCAAGACCTTATCAAGTGTTTCAGCTTTGGTGATAACATCTTCAAGATTTTATTCCGATTCGGCACAATATTGATCAGGCTTTAGGGATTCAAAGTTATTTGAAGTCTTGGCTTCGTTTGTTTTGGGTGATAAATATTGGTTCAATATGGACTGGATTATTACGTTTCGGTTTTGGTGATCCCAACAATTTTTGTCCATGATCAAAGTAATGATGTAGGTATACTCCAATTCAATGGAAAAATAAGAACAAAAGTAAATCCAATTACATAAAGGTTTCAGTGCCATTCTTCTTAAGTTATCATATTGGAATTTGATGATTTTTACTTTTTTGAAATTTTTGCAGATTTTGAAAATATTACGAAAGGTATCAATGGAAAAAAGAAAAAATTAGGATGGAAATTTGTTTGTTGCAATAAGATTCCTGTAAAATTGTGTTTCAAGAACTGTTCGAGATTTATGTTGATAGTTTTTGATAACCCATCTTGCTTGAGGTTTTTTTTGTAATGATCATCGGCCAATCTGTTTTGCTTTTTTATATTAACATTGTACTTATTATGTTCAATTGTGTCATTTCAGATAAAATAGTAAGATTTTTCGTGATGTCAATATGTTGTTTTACTGTTTAGGTTATTAATAGTTCTTCGCGTTAGTGATTCTAAAAAAAATTCGTTCTTCAAAGACGACCGAATTGTGGCCATGGTTGAAAAGTCAAAATTCTAAACTTTACGCTAGAATAGTTGAGGAAAACTTTTATATTAGTGGATCCAAGGAAAAATATAGAAAAGATTAAATAAAAGAGTGTCTGAATCCCCTATTTTGATGTTCGCTGATGATCATGGTTATCGAGTTTTCAATCTCTCCAAGCACATTTGGACCATTATAGGTTCGAAGAATAATAACAGCGGGGTGGCGAAAAGTGGTGTGGTAGACAGAGTTTCCCTGCAAGGTATAAAAAAACAAACAAACAAATTTTATCAGTGAAGATTTTTCAACAGTAAAATA